CCACCACACACACACACTATTATTCAGCAACATAATTAAGACTGGAATTTAAGTAATTAGGCAACACACATTTTCCATGTGCACATACTGTATCAAAAATAAAGACTATCCTTTGCCCTCAACTAACCAAGAAAATAAACTATCATAAATTAAAACACAGTACAGTAAACAAGCTGTTAAAAAAAAAAATGAAGGGTGGGCTGAGGTTGTGGTTCAGAGGCAGAGTGCTTGCCTACATGTGTGAGGCACTGGGTTCAAATCTCAGCATCATATATAAATCAATCAATAAATAAAAGTCTTGTCAACAACTAAAATACTAAAAAAAAGAAAAGAAGGGGCCAGGTAAGGGCATGTACTTAGTAGGCTGTGGCATGAAGATCCTAAATTTGAGGCCAGCCTGGGTAATTTAGTGAGACTGTCTCAAAATAAAATGAATGATGAATGAGGCCCTGAGTTAAATCTCTAGTATCCCCAGCCCCCMAAAAAGTAAAGAAGCAAATTTGATTTTTTTTTTAATATTTATGTTTTAGGTATAGATGGACACAACACAATGCCTTTATTTTTATGTGGTGCTGAGGATAGAACCCAGGTCCCTGCCCGTGCTAGGCGAGCGCTCCACCGCTGAGCCACAATCCCAGCCCCAAATTTGATTCTTTTGTAAAGACTTTATATAATAAAATCTTTGATTAATTTGAATTAGAGTATTATTTACTACCTAAGAATAGTATTAGAGTACTATTAGTACCTTAATTAAAATAAAACAAATTACTATTTATCTAGATTAAAGATACCTAGGAGGAAAAAAAAAGATAATAAAACTGCATTACAAAACATTTTATGGTTTCAGTTTAAAGGTATTTAATAAATCTGTAATGTCACAGAATACTGGAAATGTTTCTGGGTTCTCTGCTATATATTCTTTAAGAATTATAGAAGTTGGGCAGGGCCCAGTAGCACACACCAGTAATCCCAGCAGCTAGAGAGGCCGAGGCAGGAAGATCGCAAGTTCAAAGCCAACCTCAGCAAAGGCAAGGCACTAAGCAATTCAGTGAGACCCTGTCTCTAAATAAAATGCAAAACAGGGCTAGGAATGTGGCTCAGTGGTCAAATGCCCTGAGTTCAATCCCAGATACAAAAAAAAAAAAAAAAAAAATGTGCATACACACACACACACACACACAGAAGTCAATCAGGCTAGGGTTATGGCTCAGTGGTAGAGAACTTGCCTAGCACGTATGAGACACTGGGTTGGATCCTCAGCAGCACATGAAGATAAATAAAATTACTATCTACAACTAAAAAGAAAAGATTAAAAAAAAAGAATTATAGAAGTCACCCCAATAATAATAAAAATAAAAATTATCCCTCTAGACCAAARTCTTAACATCTAGATTTTCAGATAATGAAAGCACAGAAAAAACAAAGTAATTATTTAAGTAAATTAAAAAATACTTTCAAGGAACTGTACATCTTTAACAAGTTCATAAAACAAATAAGATGCTGACAAAATATGGCAGTAAAATTAAAAAGATCTTTTTAAAAATTATGAAGGTTTAAACCCTTCATAATTTATTAACTTCATAGTTTATTAACTATAATTTAATAATATTAAATTATAGTTAATACTTAACCATATGAAAATGGTTTATACATACCATTTTTATTTGCTGGTGAAAAAAAGTTGAAGACAGGAGAAAATATGGTCCCCAACAATGTAGTCCTTGGAGGACTGCCAGAGGAAGGATGTTCTTCTAATTTCCCATTTTGTTTTGCATGTTGATTTGTCATTTCATAACTACCAGCTTCTAAGAAAGAATAGAAAAAAAATGTCATAAACAGTGACTTTCAGAAATTACACATAAATCATTTTAAAAATAACTTTTCTCTCCTCAAATATTTGTGAAAACTAATTAACATTCAGGAATGATTAATAAAGAAATACTGAGGTAAATCATTCGTAAATYAAATAATCATAAAGTAACACTTTATTACTGTTAACATTTATTGAGTTTTTTTCAAAGTAAATTTAAATACAAAATTATACAAATCAAAAGGCTTCAAATTAATATAGTGTAACAGAAAATGAAAAAAATTCTTTGTAAGAAAGTAAACAAGTTATCAGTATCAAAAGCATGAAGGCAAGATTCTGTTTTTGATTACATTTTGGAATGCTGCCTACTTCATAAAACCTTCCCTCATATCTTTCTAAAGAATGACAGTTAAATCATTAGAGGCAACCTGGCCCTACTGAAGAAGGTCAAATACAGCTGTGTCAAAAATTACTTATTAGAGTTGGAGAGGTAGCTCAGTGGTAAAGCCTAGCAAGTACAAGGCCTTGGRATTCAATCCCCAGAATGACAAAAAGAAAAAAGAAAACAAAACATGAAATCTGAGCCATTTCAGAGTGGTTAGGAAGAATAATCTTATAAGTAAAATTCTTACTTATAAGATTGTAAGAATAATCTTATAAGTAAGAATAATCTTATAAGTTATAAAAAAAAATAAAATGAAAAGTTTTGACTTTGACTTATCCTCCACAATGTTACCTTTTTGATATAGATTTAAAAACAAAACAAAACAACAACAACAAAAACTTGTTTCTCTCATTCCTTTTTTTTTTTTTCTGATTTGGTACCAGGGATTGAACTCACGGGCCCTCAACTACTGAGCCACATCCCCAACCCTATTTTTGTATTTTATTTAGAGACGGTCTCACTGACTTGCTTAGTGCCTTGCTTTTGCTGAGGCTGGCTTTGAACTTTCGATCCTCCTGCCTCAGCCTCCCGAGCTGCTGGGATTACAGGCCTGTGCCACCGCAACCAGCTTCAYTCATTATTCATTATTTTTTTAAAATTACGTATGTATGTATTTAGGTGATACTGGGGATTTAACCCAGGGGTACTGTACCACTGAGCTATACATTCATTCATTAGTAGTAGGGATTGAACCCAGCCAGCGGTACTCTAATACTAGGCTGCATCCCTACCCCTTTTTAATATTTTATTTTGAGACAAGGTCTTGCCCAGTTGCCCAGGCTGGCCTTCAATTTGTGATCCTCCTGCTTCAGTCTCTTAAGTCACTGGGATTATAGTGTACACTACCACACCCAGCTTAACTTGTTTATCCCTCTTTCTTCTCCTCTCTGTCCTAAGTGTCCTTTTCTCCATATTGATCTCTTTAAACAATAAATACACATTACTGCACTGAGGGAATGAGGAAAGAACTGTTATTGCTCTTGTGTGTAAAACAGTTTTAGTTAGCTTGGTGAGGTGGTGCATGCCTACAACCCAGATACTGGCAAGGAGGCAGTTCTGAAGCAGGAGTTCATATATTCCAGGTCAGCCTCAGCAACTTAGAGGAACTCCATCTCAAAATACAAAATGCAAAGGACTGGAAATGTAGCTCAGTGGTAGGGCATCCCTGGATTCAATTCCCAGTACTAGAGGAACAAGAGAGTTTTAGAGCACCTCATGCTCTAAAATACTGTTCTTTATAGCTTTCTCTGCTTGTCCTTATTGTTCTTCCTATTGATTGTGAGGAACTTCTCAGCTATACAATAAGATATTGACAGGATGTATCAATAGCTGTATTACTGATATTTGGGCCTGATAATTCTTTATTGTGAGGGGCTTTACTGCATTGTAGAATGTTTAGTAACATATCTGACATCTAACTGGTAGATGATTGTTGCAACCCCTCCACAGGTGGTGACAATTGTGAAGGATTCCAGATAGTGACAAATGTCCCATAGAAGCAAAACTACCCCTAATTGAGAAATGCTAGTCTAAATGATCTAAGTACCCTCTGAGCTCATAAGTAGCATGATCCAGAAACAAACTTTTTGTACAAGTTTCAGTTATATTAAGTCACAATTATTACTGCTTTCAGAAATCAACTTATTAGAAGTAAAAAATGTTGATTCTTGGGGCTGCGGTTGTGGCTCAGTGGTAGAGGGTTGCCTAGCACATATGAGGCACTTGGTTTGATTCTCAGCACCACATAAAGAAAGAAAGAAAGAAAGAAAGAAAGAAAGAAAGAAAGAAAGAAAGAAAGAAAGAAAGGTTATCACGTTCACATGCAACTAAAAAAAATTTTTTTTTAATGTTGATTCTTATACACTTTTTTTTTTTTTTCTGGATGCTGGGACTTGAACCCAGGGCCTCTGGCATGCTAGGCAAGCACTTCACCACTAAGATACATCTCCAACCCCAATCCATATACATTTTTTTATGCTAAGTAGTATAAAGCTAATTATTCTGCCTTTATTTAATTCATCAAAGTAAAATATTTTAGAAAGATATATTTTCATTTCACTTCATGCTACTAATACTGAACACAAAAAAAGATTACAAAAATAAGGAAAAATTTACTCAAAGTAGATTTTTAAAACAGACAAGGAACATGTCAAATAAGATCTCTGCTTACACCTAAATTAAACAGTATCTAAATATTAACAAACCTCCATTTACTTGACTTTTCCGTCTTACTCGAGATATCTGTTTGTTAGGCTTTTCTCCTGTTCTTGGTGATGATGTGATCAAATTATTATCTATATCACGTTCAATTCTACTCCGCTTTGAAGGATTTTCTCTCTCTTCCTTAAGACAAGAGGAAAAAAATATGCACTGAGCACAATTATTCTGTCTTACAGGTTATACTTAAAAAATGATAAAATATGGTATAATATTCTTTATCCTGGAGAAACAAAATGCAATTAGTAGCAAAGAGTGGCAAAAATGGAAAAAATTTTAGTGTTCTAAGAATATTAATGCAGTTAGAGTACACAAATATAATTAGAACCTTTCTCAAGGCTCACCTAAATTTTCCATGCTATGGAAATAATGAACTGTACAGTGTGCTCTGAATTTTCAGCCAATTTCCCCTTATTTTTAGAACTGTTTTAAAGAACAGAGATCATTTCCTTGAGCACTCGGGAAAGATAGGAGAGGGAGCCTCATTGAACTTGCTGGCCTGCCACTACCACATCTCTACTGTTTACCTCAATTATTTAAATGGCCAAATTAACACCAAGGAATCTACTCCTTAGCAAGAAGCTCTATCTTATTTAGGGCAAGTTCCCATGACAAATTTATACTATGCTTGCAGTATAATTGACTTAAATAATATACTTATGAGCATTAGCCTGATTTATTTTTCTCCATTTATTTATTAGTTTTTGCAATGCTGGGGATAAAACTCAGGGCAGTACACTTGCTAAACAAGCATCAACAGCTAAATCACTTCCACCCCTATTTTTCACCATTTATACATCTTTTTCTGTTTTGAGAATTTTTCCAGTCATTCACTAAACAAATCATTGTATTGTAATATTGCCCATGATGATTTAATTAACTACCTAAAATCATTTGATAAGGATTAGAATTTCAAATTTACATATTCTATATAATTAATACACATCAACATTTGTAACTGGAAGAACTTCTCTACTTTTTTGGTGGAGGGGGGTACGACCGGGGACTGAACTCAGGGGCACTCAACCACTGAGCCATAACCCCAGCCCTATTTTACATTTTATTTAGAGACTCTAACTGAGTTACTTTACACCTCACTTTTGCTGAGGCTGGCTTTGAACTCGTGATCCTCCTATCTCAGTCTCCCTAGCCACTGGGATTACAGATGTGAGCCACCATACCCGGAACTTCTCTTCTTTCTTATAACACAGTAACTAATAAAATACACTACTATGCATGTTCCTTCTCTTCTTTTTTCTTCTTGTGGTACTGGAGATTGAACCCAGAAACCCTCTTGTCATTGAGATACATCCTAAGACAAGGTCTCACTCAATTGCTGAGGCTGGCCTTGAACTTGCCATTCTCTTGTCTCTGGCTCCCAAGTCACTAGGATTACAGGTGTGCACCATCAAGCCCAGCCTACTATACTTTCTGAAGGCTGAATATTGTTGAATTATTTCTGAAATAAGCTTGGTATTGTTAGTGGTAAAATTTATAATTTCATTTTTGGGTCAAAAAAGAAAAAATATATTACTGCAAATATCATTCAATATGGAATTTTCCTTTTACTCAGCAATTTATCTTAATTTTAGGTCGCTCGATCAAAACAATATGGCATTACAAAAAAATAATGATGATGCCTCAGTAATCCATAACAAAATTCTTCAATGTTTTACCATTTGTTATTTTACTGTATTTTAAAATGATTAACGTGAAGTCTCATATCTCAAACATAGGATTTCCATTATCAGAAAATATATGTCTTTATAAAGTCCTTTAAGAACAGAACTATTGCAGCAAAGTTTAAATTACACTAAGCTCTAGTTTCCCATGAAGTAGTTTCTCAGTACAGCTGCTATAAAACAAATGTTACATAGATTCTTGAAAACCCTGCACTGATACAATGATAAAGATAACAAGACTTGTGGGGGAAAAAATGTGTCTTACAGGGGATAGAATATGTTGGAGCACATTACTTAAGGCTCCTGTACATTTGTAACCACAGCACTAATAAAAACACTGATTGGGACTTTCAGCGATAACTTGGACACTACTCTCACCCTCAGGTAGCTAAGAGTAGCTGGAATGTTACCTCAGGGTAYAATTTTAAAAATGATGAAGTGGAAACAAGGGCTTACAGGACTTGAACAGTAAAGCCTTAAGCCAGTAGGGCTTCTATTAAGATGGGCACAAAAGGAAATACACATTGCCATTTTGGAAGAGTTCTTGTACACCTCTGGGGAGAGAGCACCCAATGYAGATTATCATTTTAACTTTAATAAAGCAAAGAAAAGCAAAAATACCAGTGAAAGGGTATTTGCTTATGCAGTAGATGAACGGAAAGTTTCTTGTTCCTTGATGAATTATAAAATTCAATTCCCATTATTCAGAACCCTCTGTCTAGTTCAAAGGAGAATTATATATAAACCAACATAGTATCCATGTTATACTGATAAAGTTCTCCCATTTAACAACAGTGTATAAACTAACTGATGTTGCAGAGGTTACATATATTGTAACAGAACAGAATTTACTGGGTTCAACTGAGAACACATTTGAATACTTTAGCTTATATCTAAAAAGAATCAGAAAGTCAAGACTAAAATTCTGCAGTCTGACAGTCTTACTCTTCAGAACAATGCATTCAAATGTCTGATGATCCAATTCTGAAAGACAATTTGTAAGCCAAGCTTTTTTGAACATTCAGGTAGTCATATGTTGCATTTCAGTCAGTGATAAACTGTATATATGACAGTGGTTCCATAAGATTATAACAACTGAGCTGATGTAGTGGTCTAACCCTTTACTTATGCATTTGTGCAAATGCCATTATAAATAAATCTATGGAGCTGCCTGTCATATAGTATAGGACATACACTTATATGTAAGTGCATAATACTTGTAAATGATAATAAATAACTATTGCTGGTTTATTTATTATGATATATTTTATCATTTTAGAGTATATTCCTTCTACTTATAAAAAAGATTACTTTTATAAAGAAAACAAAAGGATTACTATAAAATGACATGCCCTACTGCACAAGCAGCTAGCTCTCATATTTTGTACTTACCACCCCTCTTTTTTTTTTGTAGTGCTTCGTAATAGGCAAGAACTCTAGTCACTGATCTATATCCTCAGCCCCTTACCATCTCTCTTAACTACATTAAGAAGACGTGTCAAGTGACAGAAATAAAACATCTAGATTTGTGTAAGTATTCTCTTAGCATTCACATGACAAAATCGGTTCACACCACAATTCCTAAAACTACACAACCTTCTAAAAATTCAACGAGTGCCTATATATAATTAGGGGACATACTTACTCCTTTAAGAAAAAACAGAAGGTAAAGTGGGAGAAAATAGAAATAATATACACCAGATAGAAAACAGCAGTTCCTAAAGAAGAAAACCAAAGCAAAAACATGGCAATAAAACAATTTTTTTTATTCCAACAAAAAAGATTTTGCAATTCAAAATTTTTCTTAGTTTTTGACAAATAAAAAAGTAAGATGTACAACATGTTTTGAAATATGCAAACAATGTGAAATGACTACATCAAGCTAAGTAATGTATGCAGTACCTAACATATGTAACTTTTTTTGTGTATATATGACAGTGTATATATGACCACTGTATATATGACAGTGGTGAGAACACTAATCTAATCTAAGCAATTGTCAAGAATATAATATCCAGGGCTGGGGATGTGGATCAAGCGGTAGCACGCTTGCCTGCCCAGGTTCGATCCTCAGCACCACATACAAACAAAGATGTTGTATCCGCTGAAAACTAAAAAATAAATATTAAAAAATCCTCTCTCTCTCTCTCTTAAAAAAAAAAAAGAATATAATATCCAATGCCTGGCACAGGAACAAGTCTGCAATCCAAGTGATTTGGGAGCTGAGGCAGGAAGATCACAAGTTCAAGGCCAGCTTCAGAAACTTTGTGAGACCCTGTCTCAAAATAAATTAAAAGGGCAGGGAATGTAGCTGAGGGATGAAATGCCCATACCCAGTACTACAAGGGGGATGGAGGGCAGTTTGCATTATTATTATGGTTATTATGCTAGACAACAGAGGTCTTGAAATAACTATTCCTCCTACCTGAAATATTGTTTATAAGCCATCCTCGTGTGTATAAAGATGGGTCTCCTTGTAGGGCTTTGTGTGTATGGTACTGGGGATTGAAACCAGGAGTACTGTAACACTAAGGCCCAGCCTCAGCACTGTATGTTTTAAGATGGCCTCATCAAATTGTCCCAGTTTGGTGTGTACACACACACACACACACACACACACACACACACACATATACATACATACACACACACACTGGCTCAGCCTCCCAAGTAGCTGGGATTACAGGTGTGTTATTTTTATGTGGTGCTGAGGATGAACCCAGGGTCTCGCATGTGCTAACACACCTGACCTCATTGTAGCTTTGATATGTATTTCCCTAATAACTTATAACATCATACATCCTTCTATACACTTGTTAGCCATTTTGTACACCTTCAGAGATTTCTGTTCAAGTCCTTTGTCTGTTTTTTTCAAACAGGGTTGTTTTTGCACTCTTTGACCAAAATCACAAATTAAAAAAAAAAAAAAGATTTCAAAGTACACATTGAAAGAGCACACTGTTTACCAAAAAAAAAAAAAATCTAAAATCAATAGAATTTAGAGAAAAATGTAAAATTTAACTCATTTATAAAGAGCAAGAAATTCAGTTATCATCAAGAATGAGAATACTTTTTGCATCAGAATAAAATGGAATAAAATTGAAAATAATCTAGAGAATAAAATGTGAGCCAAGGATTTTTTTATTCAGCAAAACTGATCTGTAATCATAAAGGCAATGTTATTAACGTGTACAAACAGATCTTGAACTGGGGTGGTGACAAAACTAAGAGCAACTTGGGAATTGGGTAAAGTTCAGGTGTTCGAACTTTTGGGAAACACAGTGAGACCTTATGTCAAACTGTCTTCAACTTTTTTATAAGCAACATAATCCTGACCCCCCAAATTAAAAAATACTACAAATCAAGATAATTACAGATCAAAATTCCTCTTGAACACATATAAAAATCCGACATTATGTGTGTGGGGGGAGAATCTCACTGAAT